ATAGCCAGGAGGCGATCGTTTCATTCCCAAGGCGTGATATCGATCATAAACTCATTAATTGTGTAGTAACCTTTTGCACACAAGCGTTCCTTAATATTTTTTTTTAAATTTAACAACAAAGGCATTTTGAACGTTTTCTGGGATCCTGTTTTAAAACCGTATACAATGCCCCACAAAGAGTTACTGACTCTATGTAGTCGAGTAACAGGAGTAACAAGTTTGTATTTGTCCCTTGTAGCAATGCTATGAGTATCATATTTTCTCATGAAATCATTAATATTTTCTCATGAAATCATTAGTATTTTTATGAAGGCTTAAATTTCGTTGCACTTTTATTTATTTCATCACTGACCCTTTTCACAATTGTAGTGGTTATGGTTTTACCTTATGATTGATCTTTATTTAATAGATTAATTGGTTTTTAAGACTGTAAACAGTAAGCTTAATACAAGTCTTAAGACGAAACATTAAAATAGGAAATTCTTCTCAAAATCTCATATTGTTCAGTTACTGAAACTATAAAATGAGAGTCGTCTGTGAATTATTATAAATAAAAAGTTATTCGTTGGATTATATTAGACTATTCATTTATAAAGTTGTAAAATGAAATAGTGTTATAAAAGATGTTTTATTTAATATTTACGAACCTGAAAATGAAAAAAGTGTATTTTGTTCCAATCATAAATGATGAAAAATAAAAAAATATATATAAATTAACTAACTACTTAAAAATAACTTTTACTATAAAAGTTTTATAGATCTCGTTTTTAACGGTATTAAAGAACTATGTATTATAAACATACAACAAATATTCAAATAAATATTTATTAATTTATAATGAAAACAATTTTCTACATTATATTGATATTGTATTTTAGACAGAGCTGTAGCTACAACGTTTATGAACACCTCTATAATTATTTTACGTCGAGGACTTCACCGTCTTAACATGTTGAATTTACGTTAACAAAGTAAATGGAACACATATATGGTTTTAATGAATTATTTTGGAATATTTACATTATGTATTGAGTATTAAAGAAACCCTTTTGTCAAAGTTAGATGCAGGCGTCATAAAGATGTTGAAGTTGTGGCTCGGGCTCGCTCTAACGGCTGATTCATCGGCGTTATTTAGGGGAAGCAATAGTTTTGGGATGAGTCTAAAAAGGCCATCGGAGCTCTATAAACACCTAAGAGTTTCCAAGAGATATATCCTGGGGAAGTCCCATGATGACATAGTGACATCGCTCCCAAAAGATGAAGATGCCCCCGAGCTAGAGTCACGACTTCAATTCCATAAGCAATTTATGATAGGAGCGCAAAGTAACAGAGCGGGGTTAGGATCAAATAGGAAAGTCCAAGATGCGGATATATTGAAGTCTTTTATTCGGCAAGACGAGAATGATAAATATAAGATCCATGCAATGAATCTAGAAATGCAGAACGAGTGGTTAGACATAGGAGATTTTTGCATCCCATTAGCATTAAAATGGCGCACTTTAATTTATGATTGGTCGCCAGCATTGCTAAAATTCTATCTCAATGCGTTCCAGATGACTCTCCCAGATCAGAGTAATTTAGTAAGATGGGGTAAAAGTACCGAAAAAACTTGCTATATCTGTGGAAAGGCAGTTGGAACTGCTAAGCATCTGCTGGTGGGATGTAAGGTACTCCTTGACAGCGGTCAATACTCGCGTCGTCACGATAGGGTTCTAGAAGTCATACGTGAAGCGGTTAGTCTTTCGGTAGCCAGAGCGCAAAAGGGAATAACCACAAACGAACGATCAGTAGGTTTTTTGTGAGAGAAGGCACTAGGGCTACAAAATCAAACGTCAAGCCTTACTCCATCCTTAAAGCGGCGTCGGATTGGACTATAATGATGGACACGTATGAAAAACAATATAAAATCCCCGAGGATATTTGTGCGTCGGCCTCCAGACCGGATATATTTTTTTTTTTCGCGAATTTTAAAGCGCGTAGTGATGATAGAGCTTACGGTCCCTTGGGAAACCAACATCCCCAAAGACCATACCATCAAGGTCAACAAATATTACGAGCTCACAAACGAACTCACTCGAAATAGGTTCGTAGTAGATTTGTACGCGGTAGAGGTGGGAGCGAGAGGTATAACAGCGAAATCTCTCTATAACCTACTAAAGGACTTGGGCTTGTCCAGAACTCACATTAATGCATTCTTGGAACGTACATCGAAGGCAGCCCTAGTAGGTTCTTTTCAAATTTGGTTAGGTAGGGAGAGGAGCTTGGACAGTGGAGGTGAGCGTATAACGCGCGTTAGTTAAGGGGCCCCTTAAACCTACACTTGGGTCGCAAGTCCCAGGCACTGTTGAAGCTCCTCGCCCTGCAACGCGATGGACCCGGCACCCGCACGGTGAATCCATGGAATGCTGAGAAGTTTCGTCTTATTTAAAACGACTGCCCGGAGAGTCGGGCTGACGCTGGAAAGACAGCTGACTGCCGGAAAGACGGATGACTGCCGGAAAGACGGATGACTGCTGGAAAGACAGCCGAGGGCGACGGCCTAGCAAGCCCAACCCGGTATACATAAAGCTAAAAGTCCGAAGAAGAAAAATACCCCTGGGACAGTCCGAGAGGGGGGGCGGAAGAACTGTCCACCGGTCGATTTTAACGGCGAAAACGGCGCGAATACGGACTTGAAATGCTCTACGTGCGGGAAAAACTACAAGAGACGAGCCTGGTACATTAAACATCTAAAAACACATAATGGGGTTGAAGCACGACAATCGTCGGTAAGATCTACAACATTCACTTCGGATAGAGTTGACCCTCATGTATCCCATGGTGAACCATTAACAGGAAACCACCAGGAGTCCATTAACATCAGGACACGTCTTAGCATTCCTAATCTAAAACAATCGGCTTGGAAAGTTCATGACGACAACTTAGCGGTCCTGTTAGAGCATCCGGGCTCGAAGCAGGAATTGAACTCGCAGGTAGAAACTTTCCAAAATACCGTTTATGACTACTTTAGCGAGCAATATCTACCACGTAATCGTTATGCTCGCAAAAATAAAGACAATTCGTTCAAATTAAAAATGCGGAAGAAAAAACGGGAATTAATAAAAAATCTACGTATAGCCAAAGCTCTAGGCGACAATCACCTTAGTCATCAACTAGCTAGGGCGTTAAGGTCAATCCTTAAATTAATCCAAGGAATATCGGCGCAAACTGCAGAATTTCGCGATAATTTTGACCGGGCAAAACAAGAAGTAGATTTCGATAAAAACCCTTTTGAGTATTCGAAAACCATTTTTAAGAAAGAACGCGGACAGCTGCTCTTGACCAACGATCAAATTTACGACCATTTTAAGAGCACATACGAAGTGCCTAAAAGTTTAAGACGGTATAGGGATCCAAACGATCAAAAACCTGAATTTCCTCGAATCGAATTCCACGGCATTCCACCAACGCTAGAGGAACTAAGTAGTCAGATCAAGAGGAAGTCGTCTAAATCTGCACCGGGACCCGATGGTATCCCATATATAGTCTTTAAAAAATGTGCATCGGTTCGTAAACACCTCCTAAATATATACGGTAAAATCTGGTCAAGGAAGCAAATCCCGGAGTGCTTCGGGAAAGCAATTTTTGTCCTCATTCCCAAAAAAGATCGAGTTACTGATCCGAAAGATACTAGACCGATAGCTTTAACAAATACTATATCGAAAATCTTTTTCTCGGTTCTACAAACGAGAATGACGCGATTCATGCTCAGCAACAACTATTTTAGGCCAAATCACCAGAAAGGGTTTTTACCCGGGATTTCTGGATGCTTAGAACACAACACCTTGCTGTCGGAGAGTTTAAAAGATGCTAGAAAAAGCGAGCGGCAAATCACTGTTTGTTGGATAGACTTGGAGAACGCGTTCGGGTCGATACAACACGAATTGATGCTTTTCGCGCTTAGATGGTACAACTTTCCACCCCTAGTTAGAGATATGATCGCGTCGTATTACTCAAAATTAAGGTTTTCTATAATAACTAAAGAAGGCCCTTCAAAAAGTTTGAGTTATAATGTAGGACTGTTTCAAGGTTGTTGTCTATCTCCAATTGCGTTTAATATCGTAATTAACATCTTAGTAGACAAATTAATCTGTAACGAGAAAAAATGGGGTTATCGGTTTAAGTTTAATAATAAATACACGGAATCCATTTTAGCCTTCGCTGACGATCTCGCAATACTGACACGTAACCCCAAACACTGTCAGGTACTATTGGATGAAGTGGATAAATTCTGTGAGTGGACGGATGGATTGAGGACAAAACCCAGTAAATGTCACTGTCTGTGTCTTGGTAGGCGGAATACAAGATACACCTCATACGATCCGGGACTATCGTTAGGCGGTCAATGCATTTCTACGGTTACGGAAAATGCACCATTTAAATTTCTCGGTCGTAAGATAGATAATATAGGCCGTACTCCATCTTTAGAAGGAATAGTAGATAGCTTTTTGAACGATCTTAACAAGGTAGATAGCCAACTGATAAGTAACGTCAAAAAAGCGTGGATCTACGAGAATTACTTAACTTCACGTTTGAATTGGCCTTTCCTCGTCTATGATTTTAATAAAACCCTTTTGTCAAAGTTAGATGCAGGCGTCATAAAGATGTTGAAGTTGTGGCTCGGGCTCGCTCTAACGGCTGATTCATCGGCGTTATTTAGGGGAAGCAATAGTTTTGGGATGAGTCTAAAAAGGCCATCGGAGCTCTATAAACACCTAAGAGTTTCCAAGAGATATATCCTGGGGAAGTCCCATGATGACATAGTGACATCGCTCCCAAAAGATGAAGATGCCCCCGAGCTAGAGTCACGACTTCAATTCCATAAGCAATTTATGATAGGAGCGCAAAGTAACAGAGCGGGGTTAGGATCAAATAGGAAAGTCCAAGATGCGGATATATTGAAGTCTTTTATTCGGCAAGACGAGAATGATAAATATAAGATCCATGCAATGAATCTAGAAATGCAGAACGAGTGGTTAGACATAGGAGATTTTTGCATCCCATTAGCATTAAAATGGCGCACTTTAATTTATGATTGGTCGCCAGCATTGCTAAAATTCTATCTCAATGCGTTCCAGATGACTCTCCCAGATCAGAGTAATTTAGTAAGATGGGGTAAAAGTACCGAAAAAACTTGCTATATCTGTGGAAAGGCAGTTGGAACTGCTAAGCATCTGCTGGTGGGATGTAAGGTACTCCTTGACAGCGGTCAATACTCGCGTCGTCACGATAGGGTTCTAGAAGTCATACGTGAAGCGGTTAGTCTTTCGGTAGCCAGAGCGCAAAAGGGAATAACCACAAACGAACGATCAGTAGGTTTTTTGTGAGAGAAGGCACTAGGGCTACAAAATCAAACGTCAAGCCTTACTCCATCCTTAAAGCGGCGTCGGATTGGACTATAATGATGGACACGTATGAAAAACAATATAAAATCCCCGAGGATATTTGTGCGTCGGCCTCCAGACCGGATATATTTTTGTTTTCGCGAATTTTAAAGCGCGTAGTGATGATAGAGCTTACGGTCCCTTGGGAAACCAACATCCCCAAAGACCATACCATCAAGGTCAACAAATATTACGAGCTCACAAACGAACTCACTCGAAATAGGTTCGTAGTAGATTTGTACGCGGTAGAGGTGGGAGCGAGAGGTATAACAGCGAAATCTCTCTATAACCTACTAAAGGACTTGGGCTTGTCCAGAACTCACATTAATGCATTCTTGGAACGTACATCGAAGGCAGCCCTAGTAGGTTCTTTTCAAATTTGGTTAGGTAGGGAGAGGAGCTTGGACAGTGGAGGTGAGCGTATAACGCGCGTTAGTTAAGGGGCCCCTTAAACCTACACTTGGGTCGCAAGTCCCAGGCACTGTTGAAGCTCCTCGCCCTGCAACGCGATGGACCCGGCACCCGCACGGTGAATCCATGGAATGCTGAGAAGTTTCGTCTCTGGTCATTCAATAATTAATTATATTATACACGAAATACATTTCATAACATCAAGTATCAAACCTTTTCCGAAACCTTCGTGGAAGTACTCTCAAATATAATATTATTCAATCTAAATGTAAGTTTACTAGTAGCTCCCTAAACCACTTGTTCGAAAGCAAGCCGTAGACATACATATTAACTGGCGATTCACTCAACCAATAAGTACCTAATATATTGATCCACAAGCATTCCCTGAAACCACTCAAAGTCTTACTTGTGTACGGAACTGTATTAGAGCTGGGATTATATATTATAATATATGCTCTATTTACGTTACTGGTCAAATTCTGATACCTAGTAGACTGATAAGGAAATCATGAATAAAAAGGTATAAGTAGTGAATATAAAATGAAAACCTGATAATTTTCGTGGTGATAATATTCGCGCATAATGTTACAGCGGTCCGATCAGAACGAACATCTATATAGTTTATGAATCTCTCACCTACCTCTGAACCACGAAAGTATCTTAAAATGATTACGATCCGTTCAACACAACTTTATAAGTTATTTAAATAGGAATATCCAGTGGAGATTCAAACATTCTTACTATTATCATTCGAAAACAACAAACAAAGCAAACAAAATAACTTATTTGTGTGTACACAACCTGCTAACTAATTAAAACTATCATAGTGCAAGTCTATAAGAAAAACTACGACATAGTACAAGGAGCAATATTAGCAGTGTAAGAAATATAGTTGAAAGCTGAATTGATTTATAATGAAAATTTTGCAGCTTAATATAAATTGTATTCAAACTTGATATGATTCAAGTTCGACGGTATTTTATAATCTTTTATTCAAAGTATTACATATAATTCTATTTATATTTATAAAACATAACAGTCTCAATCCAAATGTATGAGATTAATGAAATATTTGATTTATTATTTATAATAATAATATAAAATAGACTTCATGACCCTGTTTACATTATAATTTGTTCCACTCTATACTAAAATTCATTATAAATACAGAACTTGTTAAAAGCTTCAGTTTTTTTTTATTTTATTGACCTTAAAACTTATCCCATTATCCCCTTTTCTGAAAACGTTCTTACTAAGTTTTACCGTCCAACATTGAACAATACGACATCCTTATTATAAGGAAAAATGTTTGTAAGATGGTAACCCAGTTCTCTAATAATAAGTTCTAACTTATTAGGGCTAGTATACACGGAAAATAAATATGGCAATGAATATTAATTATATGTTAAATTGTGATATTATTTTTCTTTATTACATAGGTATATTTAAAAAGGGCAGTCTTATTATACATAGTTATCCTAATTAAAAAGTCTTAAAATAATATCTTCTAATGCAAAAATAAATAACAGTCATTTAATCATGAGAGGGTCAGTGGAAAGGATGGGTAGTGGTTTAGGACAAAATAAATTTTTATAAACACCATAAAATAAGAAGAAATTTTATCTCGTAGATTGAATTTAACTGAGAAATGAAAGAACATGAAAGACATCAATTTACGATCTGATAGAAGATGATTGAAATGAAATGTCGAAACCAGACAGTAGACCTAAATAAAGTTATAATATTCAAAGTATTATATACTTGGCTTTCAGAAAAAACTAGGACTTTGAGACAAATTTCATTTCATAGCTATGTTTTTTTATTCAAAACTAATATTATAGTTACATTATTTCACAATAACAAAAAAGGACACATTTTCTGCTTTTTTACCATAAATATTGCTAAAAATTAATGTGATTATATTCTCGAACTCAACTAAATATTCCCGTTTAATTTAAAATCTTCGCAGTAAAATTGAGGAAATTATGAATAATGGTGGCATCTGCACAAAATTTTATGAGGAGACCTATCCCATTAAAATTCTAACGAATATGTTTTAATTTAATTTAGGATTTAAAATGAATTTGGGTATTTGAATTTAAGTACAAGATATTTCACAGAACATAATGAAATATTATTGATTAATTGAAAATTTTTATTACTTTGTCATACCTTATTCTTATTTTTTAAGAAAACTGAAGAGGGCTATTATATGGTTGCCTGGCAGAGATCGCTGCTTAGCGATAAGGCCGCCAATTGTACATTTTGATCAAATTTGTAATTACTGTATAATTTATTTATTTTTTTGGTGTACAATAAAGAATACTTACTTACTTACTTATAATATTTTCTAATATTATTAAAATAAATAAATTTGTTACCGATATCTCTCAATAGAATTCATTTATTATTAAAAATCTTCTAACATGAATCTTATAATATTTTACCTTATTTTTCATTAAACTACTACATATTATACTACATTTTCTTTATTTTAAGGTCTCTTAACAGAATAGTTTAATTTTTAATTTAGTCAAAGTCACTGCAAAAGAATAACAAGTACATAGTTGTCATAAAAAAGTTTGTAAAGTTAAATTGGATACATTTGCCTTGTTAATCCCAACGATCCCAGAATCCTTATGAATATCAAATGCTTATTCTTACAGACAAAACAAAACTTCCAACATTTCGTATCATTTTATTAATTTGCACGGTATTAGTTTGTTTCTGCAATATCATAAACTTGCATTTTGAAGAAAATAAATTTGTTTGAACTTTGAAGTGATGACACAGTTCTTTCTTTAAAATATAATATGTTATATTTTTTCATATGACTCGATTAACTCTAGTAAATTTCTATGAAGGGAAACCTTTAAGTGCGACTTTATAAACCTACCAACTAAAATCTCAAATTGTCAATAAAGACTTTGACCTTTATAGGTTAAGGTTGAATTGAATAAGTTCAAATTAGTTCAATCCCTTTATTAATATTTTTGTTCATTCAAAATTAATTTAAATATTGCTCATTACCGGTTAACACAAACCACATTAAATATTAACAGTAAAATAAAACAAATATCCTATAAATGTGTTATGGAGGTCATTATTTAAATTATTTCGGATCATCATTAAGCAACAGAACGCATATGTATTACTAATATGAATATGGTTTTAATTTTATTATAATAGGATAATATTCTAGTTACGTTACATGAATTCATTGTAGATAGCATTATTATCCGAGAATACTATCTTCTTTTAGGATGACAAATTTTTGGTATAAAAGTTTATGGATATGATTCACTTTTATTTCCAAAATTCATCATATAAGTTTTTTCAGATTATTATAAAACAGACAGATAAAATTTAACTAATTACACTCTATACTAGTTCGAGGTACTTGAGGTAAAGAAATAAGAAGATTCAATAAATAAGAAGTTGTGAAACAAAGCAGGCCACTTTAAAGACAGGTAAATACCTTTGTACATGACAATAACAGACAACGTGTTGCAGTTCAGTTGCGATTGCTGTTGGTTCTCTGATAAAATAGTAAAATTGCTAACCATTTTTTAGTATCTATTTGAAGATCATCAAAACATTATTATAGTAAACCTTATATTCTTTTGGACCTATAACCTTGGACCTTATATTCTTTTATCACAATTCCCCGGTGTTTAAATGGCCGTAACGTATAATTTGCTTCACACAACACAGCGTTATAAAAATTAAATGAACCATTCTCTCCAAGTTATGAGAAAAATGGGTGATTAAGTTGAAAATACTTTTAAGAACATACTTTCGCATCGTTATGGAGGTCGTCGTAGTAATAGACTGTAAACCGCTAATATTACCGTGACAGTCGTTGTTTTTTAAACAATAACATTAACCCAAATGGAAAAAAGGTCATAAAAATATTTTTATCATATGTTCCTTCATTTAATATGTTTATAATATATTTCTTATATAAATATATGTGTTTATTAGCAAGCACCTTAAATTAAATAATTTATTTTTCCATATAATATAATTTAATCGATTGCTTCAAAGCTTCATATAAAATTCTTTCATATGTATGTCTGTATAAGTGGATAGAATCGTAGTTGCTCAGGTAATGCACATATTGCTACCTTATTCATAGCTTCAAGAATTTTAATATACTAAATTCAAAATAATATTAATATAATCCCTCTAAGGATATTAAAGTAATAACTATTCAAAGTATAAATAAATAATTTTTATATAATTATTATTGAGAGTCATATATCGCAGTATGATCTCGTAATTAGCATCATTAAAGAATTATATGTAGTTGTATCATTAACGAATTATAGCCATTATAGTTGTATCATTAGTCCCAATTCATCTTCAATTTATCAATGTAATAGCTTATATAGGCGTCAGATTTGTTCAATACATTACCTAAAAATCTGCTATATTTCATTACGTATTTTATATAAATAATATGTAGTTTTTCACATTTTCTTTGACTTTTTATTGTTACACTCAAAACCAGCTTAATGATTATTAAGATTATTATATACTCTCTCATAAGTCTGCTCCTAAAACATAAGTCTTCACTGTTTTAAAACCTATCAAGCAGTCAGATAAATAAAAAAATGGAAGGGGTCCAATTCTGTAATTCAGAATCCATGTCATATAAAGCCTGTGAGTTTAATCACAACTCAAGGGACTATTTTAATTTCACAAATTATAAATAACCCGAATGAAATAAAGTTAAAGCTTAACTTCTTCCTCGTGCACATAGCAAAGGATTGGAAAAGTTTGAATGGTTCTGTGTTTTCGCTTCAAATCTATACTAATATTATAAAGCTGAAGAGTTTGTTTGTTTGTTTGTTTGAAAGCGCTAATCTCCGAAACTACTGGTTCGAATTGAATAATTCTTTTTGTGTTGGATAGTCCAGTTATCGAGGAAGGCTGTGGGCTATATAACATCACGCTACGACCAATAGGAGCAAAGATAGTAACTTCAAAGGAGAAATTATTTCATCTTTGAAGCCTGCCGTTGCGTGCGCCGTGAAAACGGTTCAAGATACACAAAAAATATCTATTAAAGAATAATAGCTCTTTTAATGATCTAAAAAACAGTCCGGAACAGTATATGTCTATCTTTTAAGATTAACTCAATAAAACCGTTTTTTATGGTATCTAATTTGGTCGAAATAATTTCATAAAGTCTTTATTCAAATAAACCAATAAATATGTTGTTGGTTAAGAGTACTTCATTGTGAATTAAAAAAAACATAGGTTTAAAAACATAGGAGAAATGGTAGTATAAATTAAAATAAATAAAATTAATACAAAACAATTGCATAAACTATTAAAACAATCATATACGTATTTAACTTCAATATATCTTAAGACGTTTATCAAATTAAAAAAATGTTTCTAACATTAAAATATAATGAGCTATGAGTAATTGTTGTCATAAGGGTACATTGAAGCGAATGTGAAAAATAATTATAAAATTATCTATCACC